ATATATATTACAACCCCAGTCCGTGTCCCCCCCACACACACATGTGTGTATGGGGGGGGGTATTAATTTATATGTACAGGGTTGTATTTTTTTTACGTGGGGGGGGAGTAGAAGTGTATTAGGCTGCATTCACACCTCTATTTTAGATGCAGGTATCCATACAGAAGACTGCATTTTATGCTGTGATTTATTTTAGAATATTTGGCTACTTTAACGCCCTCCATCTAACCATTAACACTTCACATAATTGGTACAATTAACCCCTTACCTCCAGAATACTTAACGCTTAAAGCTGAACTCCAGGGAAACAGATACATGCACAGATGAGACATACAGTATATGGGAGATGTTATACTGCCATAGGAATTGTATCTCTGCCCATCCAGTTCTCAGATTTACACAGCCCTACCACACAGCACATTCCTGCCTCGCAGGGCAGGAGACTCGATTTTACACTTAGTCCAGTTAGGTTATAAAACTTGGTATTGTTTCTCTCCCAGCCTGTGATTGGACAGTGAAGGAGAAGCCCACTGATGAGCTAAGCTGTTTATCATCCTGTTCTCTCCTCCAATCAGCATTTTCCTTGTTAGCACATGAGAACCTCACCAAAATTGATTGGCTCCTTGTGCTGCTTCTCCTTTTCATTGTCTGAGCTCTACTGTACAGGAGGATGCAAGAGGCTGATACCAGTCAAAGTCAGATACTTACACTGTTTGCATAAAAAAAGTAATAATGTATTAATGAATACAAACCTGCTTTAATGTTTGTATTTTATATCTGCATGGAGTCCAGCTTTAACATGACCCTCATACTTAACCATCACCCTAAAGCTAACACTTACCCTTCTCCCCGTCATCACCTAAACCCCCTAAAGTTTAGCTCTAACCTTGAAGTGATATCAATTCAAAAGGTTTCTAAGGAATTTCAAATGCTGATGAAATCTCTTACAATGGATGCTGCTTCTTGATGATTAAAAGTTTTAGTTTCCCACAGAATCAGATGGTCCCCTGAGCACTGGGCCCGAAATCCTGTTTTAGGATGGCTCCTTCCCCTCGCAGGGTCCTATGGAGCCACCCTGGTGTGTGCTAGTCAGCTGTGTGTGTCTCCACAAATACACAGACACAGCAAGGCAAGGCACTACCCTCCTCCTAGGTCCCCATTCATCCTTCCCCCCTTCTCCAAGTTAGTAGATGAAATAACGAGGTCACCAGCACACCAAGGTCCACTTTATCGATCCGTCTTTTATTGACATTTAGATAAACATAGTGTCACAAGCACATGCAATGTTTCGTAACCACATGTGTCTGTATGTTTGGTGAAGTGGACCTTGGAGTGCTGGTGACCTCATTATCTCCTTTACTCTTACGGCGCCACCCGTTGGCCATTTCAGCACTCATTTAAGCTGCACATGAGGATACCGGGGTTTGGAGTGCGATGGGATAACTGGGAATGCGAGTTAGTAGATGGATTGCATGAGTCTGCTCTGTCCCTTGTGATCTTGTACATGACAGGAAGTTCAGGGAAGCCGAGCTGACAGAGTTGGAGCCGTTCAGAAACACGATGACTGTAAGTGTTTGGGCAACAATGCAAATAAATACTTTGTGGCAGATGAATCTAATCTGCCCCAGAATATTCACGATAATAGAAAATTTGTGAATTAACAGATTTACTTGACATTTGATTCAAATTGGTTGAAATGAAGAGCCCTCACAATGTGGTATGCAGCCATTGTTATCTATCATTTTGGTAACAATTTTCTTTGTGGGTTCTAGTACTGTAACAATATTCTTATCAGGGTTTAAGTACACCACTCTTACAACTGTATTTCATATCTTTAATATACATACATTTGATTTCAATGGGTGTTTGAAACTTTTACCTATTTTCTACTCCGTTCATTTTTTAACTTAGAGTTGATTTACCTTTGATAAATCTTTGTTTATTGAGCAAAATAACAGTCTGACACAAGAACGAAACATAAGGGCCTGCACACAGGCAGCCAGCTGGTCAGCACATAATACAAGAGTGTACAGTACAATAAGGGTAACAAAACCTCAAGTGAGTCAATATGTTTGAAGGCACAGTGGCATATCAATTTGTCACGTTCCCAGCTAGTAGCATCAAACTAGCCACTGGTCGAAGAGCGTTATGCACCAAAAACAAAGTGTATTCAGTTTTCATCATGCGCTACATAAAGGCCATGCGTGGGGTTCGGTTCCTATAGCTAGACTAAAGCAGTTGTTGCCAAACGGAACACTCTCCGGTAACATCTAAAGAATCGTATCAAACAGAAAGTCATGCTACTCGGCGTACACAGAGATTTACCTTTTAAAGTGTATACATAGCTATAAGCTTTTTTTTATTTTTGAATAGGGAAGGAGTGGCAATCCCCAATTTAGCACCTTTAAAGGGCTGAGCTTAGAGAATGTGGGCATGACTACACCCAGATAAATGTGGATAGGGTGTGTTTTGTTAGTCTATAGACACAGCTTGAGGTTTATCTGAATGTCTCTGCCACTTTCTCCTAGTTATGTGATTTTAAAGCTAAAAGTTTAATCTCTTACCCCAGAATGAAGGGGGAAGTTTAGTGAGCGATTGCTGTGTATTGCAGCTGCTGCCATTCTAGAATGCACTGCAATTGGTGTGAATGGGCCCTCAATACAAATTAGTAAACTAAACGTGACGTTGTAGTCCATCATTGGAGTGAGCGTGTGTATTTGTGATATTACATCTTCAGGCTCTGTGTCTCTGCACCTTTCTTATCACTGTTGCTGCCCATTCACCAGTAAGTAGAATTCCATCCAAAAAAATGTTGTTTTCAGAACATTCGTTCAATTTTCTAATAGTTAATGAAGTCAAATCAGCAATTGCTTTTGCCAGAAAAAAAAATTGAAGGAGCAGCATTTTTCTGGACTGAACAAAATTCTAACAGTGAATGTGGAGATTTTCGTATGAACATTTATATGAAAACCTACTTTACTGTTCCTCTTGCCAGTCTACCGGACAGCGGCTGGCTGATAGGAACCAATCGGCTCTAATCACACGACACCCACTATGTTCCTGGTAGACAAAGACCCAGTCACCCACGTTGCTTAGACCACCCTTTCCAAACCATGGTGCCTTGGCACCCTGGGGTGCCTTCTAGCTTCCTCAGGGGGGCCTTGAAATTTCTACACAGCATTATGCCTCTCATGTGAATAGGGTAACTGATGTGAAAAAGGGGGACTCTGCTGTAAAAGAAGGGGGCCCATAATGTTAAGAGGGGCTCCTGATGTAAAGGGAGA